AGACTTTGATGGCGACAGCTCAAACATGAGAGCTTGAGCTTTATTAGCTCCACCTTGCGGAAATTCCGGATACTATTATTTTGCTAGTGGTATTTACCGGTAACTCGTGGTAGACTGCGTACAGCGTACCGCAAAATAATGCGGTATCGCCCGCGCATTTTGAATGGCTGCATCTGTAACTTATGTAAGGTACGATAGTATATTACGACAGTAATATAACTGTAATGATATCACTATACTTGTACGATATAATGCTTTATGCAGCATTAGTTGCAACATAGTGAGATTTGTAGACATTTGCTGTATTTACCATCTGTCCAAAAATAACTTTCTCTTTGGTGTCAATTTTTCTCAGAGAATGAAGTCACAAGAAACCTTAGATGGGTCTTTTCAAGTAATCAAGTTACTAAGCCGAAGACCAATGAGTTGGGCAAGTTGTGTTACACTGGCTAGATTAAAATTTGAAAAATATTTTAAAAGAAAGGTAAGTTGTTTTTTTAATTTATTGTTTTGGAGTGTTAAAAGCTTTTCCATGTCATATTATCTTTATTTTCTAGATATGATGGAGGTATTAAATATTCTATTTTACAGCCCTCCTGCTCAATTTATATTATGTAAAGTGAAGAACATACTGTAAATTGTAACAGAGTAAAATCAAGTGATTAAAATCATTCAGAACACAAATGTTTTAGTGTTTTTTGCGTTCCATTGAAGAAACAGATATCCATAGATATGTTTTGACATGATTGTGTAATTTGATCTTATAAGCAATGCTTATATAGTTAGATATCAAATAATAAATGTCAAATTAAAGGAGAACCGCAACTCTATTTTCATATTTTTCATTTCTGCACATTTTACATCACAAAATAGTCAAAATTGTTTTTCTATAATGTCAATGAATTTATTTAGTTACCAAGATTTAATAACTGGTTTGAGAAATTGGGGCTGCATTTTCCCTTCAAATGAATAAATCAGAAGTGGCAAGGTAATTTCACAATGGACCAGATTGAAAGGAATAATAAACCTTGGACAACAGCTTTAAATAAAGATTAAATTTACACTAAAAGTATTTTTACATGCATTTGCCACCACTAACAAACTTTTCATTGATTCTGTGCTATATATTTCTAATGAAGTTCAGCAAATGGAGTGTTTTGTATTCTGTGTTAGCTGAACATGAAAACCTGTAGCCTATTATTTTGTATGTGCTTTTGTAGATTAACTTGAAGCGTAGAAAAACTGATTAAATTTGCTTTTGTCATTGTATTATCCCGGTATTGTTCCCAATGGCTACCTACAATGGCAAGTTAGTTTAGTTCAAGAATAATTTCAAGGTTGCATGAAAACAGTGATCTATGTCCTGTGACCCATGTCCCAGTTGCTGTATCTGGATGCTTAGATAAGGGCAGGTCAGTACAGACACAACAATCATATCCATGTGGATTAAAAATGGTCAGGGAATGCAAAACCAAAAAATAAAATACTTGCTGTTTTTTTAGCAGCTAACTGAATTCTCCCAATCCCTCTTTATGCAAAAATGAACTGCTAAGTGGCTTACTGGTTTCCAAAACAGACTCTTCCGAACCCAGTCTCTTTCTGGGAATCTTCACAAGACTCTCAATCATACAGTTTTATTTCTCTCCAAGACTAACTTCAGAAATCTTCCAAAGTTGTTAACAGTTATTGTTCCTGAGTGAGTTACTCTGTCTCCCTAGTGAACCCTCATACAGAGGATCTGCTCTCTGTCCTCTGAACAGCAGATATATCCAATAGTTGGAAGATTTTCTACTTTTTAAATAAACTGATCAGGAGACCATGGGCAGTAGCTCTTTCCCTACAGCTTTCTGAGTAATGTGGTCTAGACAAGGCCTGCTGTCTTGTCTGAATCTGCTGAATAATGCCTCTTATAGCCACTAGCCCCTTCATACAATGACATTGCAAAACAGATATGGTCAAGATTTGGACAGATTTTACCTACTGAAGTGACAGTAATATAATTAGAATATCATTTTCTTGTATTAAAATTATATAATCTCTTATTGTTTACTGAATTTATTTGTTTATACATTTTGTACAGTAATTGTGCAGATTAAACAGTGTTGCTGAGGTGCTTGTGTTATTGAGAAATAGGCAGCAGGACAAGTTGTGCTTCAGAGATTCAACCAATGTAAATTCCCAGCTGCAAATACAGTGCTATGTAAGCAGAATGTCAGAACTACTGTATTTTGCAGTGATGATGAATTAAATGTTTGGTACTCCTGTAAGTATAGTGAGTATATACTTGACAAGTACAGCGGGGATATTTCCCAGATCTCAGCTGCTGAGTGGTATGTAGTTCAGTGCAAATTAATTCAAATTCAAATTCAGTTTTCACATTTTATTGCTTTAGCCTATTTTAATTACAAAATCATATGGTCTTACCTTGTGAAGTTGACAAGTTGTGCTTGATTTTTAATGTCGCTTTGCTTCTTACATTCAAGACACATTTGGATACACTACACATGAATAAAATGGTTTGTGCTTATGTTCATCGCTAGCTATACAAAACACAAGATACAACATATTTTCAAAGTGAAAGCCAGTCAAAAAATCAAGTACTAAAGTGCAGAACATTTTAACCATTAGTGCGGGAAATTTATATTGGGGCAACTTATAATGGTGATACCCTGGTTACCTAATTTCAAAAGTAGTAGTTATTATGTCATGGTTGGTCTTAATTTTTCAGAGAACATACAATGCAGTCTGTAAGTATTTGGACAGCGACCCAATTTTTGTTGTTTTGCTATTGGCTCTGTACTCCAGCATTTTGGATTTGAAATTAAACAATGACTGAGGTTAAAGTGCAAGAATGTCAGCTTTAATTCAAGGGTATTTACATCTACGTTTACGTGGGTGAACCATATAGGAATTGTAGCCCTTTTTATATGTGGTCCCCCCATTTCAGGAGACCAAAAGTAACTGGACACATTAGCATAATCTTAAATAAAATTGTCATGTTTAGTACTTGGTTGCAAATCCTTTGCAGTCGATGACTGCTTGAAGTCTGCGACCCATAGACATCACCAGACGCTGGGTATCTTTCCTGGTGATGCTCTACCATGCCTGTAATGCAGCCATTTTCAGTTCCTGCTTGTTTCAAGGGCTTTAAGCCTTCAGTCTTCTCTTCAGTAAGTGAAATGCATGCTCAATGGGATTCAGGTCGGGTGATTGAATTGGCCAGTCAAGAACATTCCACATTTTGGCCCTGAATAACTCCAGAGTTGCTTTAGTAGTATGTTTGGGGTCATTCCTGCTGCAAGGTGAAGTGCCGTCTAATGAGTTTTGAGGTTGGTTTGATCTTAGCAGATTTGCCGTCAGCAATCACATTATCAATATAGACAAGTAAGCCAGTTCCACTGGCAGCCATATATGCCCAAGCCATGACAGTACCTTCACCATATTTCACAGATGAGGAGGTATTTTTTGGGTCATGAGCAGTTCCTTTTTTTTCTCCACACTTTCCATCACTCTGGTACAGGTTAATCTTTGTCTCATCTGTCAATAAGACTTTGTCCCACGCTTTTTTATGTACTGTAACCTTGCCTTTCTGTTCCTGAGGCTTGCCTGTGGTTTGCGGTCTGAGGTTATGCTGTTGTATTCTTCTGTTTATGGTGGTGTTTGACACATCTATACCTACATCCTGCAGAGTGTTCTTGATCTGTTCAACAGTCGAAAAGGGTTTTTCTTCACAATTGAAAGTTATTCTTCGGTCATCCACTACCGCGGACTTCCATGGTCTACCAGCTCGTTTGCTATTGCTAAGCTCACCAGTGCGTTCTTGCTTCTTAATGTACCAAACAGTTGATTTTGACTCACCAAATATTTTGGCTATGTCTCTGATTGATTTATTCTGATTTTTCAACCTCATGATGGCCTGCTTCACTGGCGTTGACACTTCTTTGGTCCTTATGTTGAGAGACGACAGGAACAGACTTCAGATGCAAATGCCACATCTAGAATCAACTCTAGACCTTTTGTTAGCTCTCTTGTGCATGAACTAACGATGCAATGACACACAGCTGGTCAAGAAACAACTGATCAGCCAAATATCCAATTACTTTTGGTCCCCTGAATTAGGAGGACTACATATAAAAAGGGCTGTGATTCTTGTATGGTTCACCCAATATGGACATAATTATCCTCGAATTACAACTGACAATCTGCACTTTAACCTAATAGTCATTGTTTCATTTCAAATCCAATGTGCTGGAGTACAGAGCCAAAACAACAAAAATTGTGTCACTGTCTAAATACTTACGGACTGTCCTATAAATTCATAGCAGGGACACACTTTATTACACTCTACTCTTTGAATAATCAATAAATAATAATTATAATAATAATTGCTTACACTTATATAGCGCTTTTCTGGACACTCCACTCAAAGCGCTTTACAGGTAATGGGGACTCCCCTCCACCACCAATGTGCAGCATCCACCTGGATGATGCGACGGCAGCCATAGTGCGCCAGAACGCTCACCACACATCAGCTATCAGTGGGGAGGAGAGCAGAGTAATGTAGTCAATTCATAGAAGGGGATTATTAGGAGGCCATGATTGGTAAGGGCCAATTGGAAATTGGCCCTTACCAAAATATATAGTGGAGTACAAGTCTTTAGGTTTTTCATAGTAAAACTGAAAATTGTCAGCCTGGATTTTCATGATAAATCAACGTTTCACTGCAGTTCATCAAGGGAATTAATACATTTGAAGACTGATGTGTTTGGATCCCTCATTCATTTTCTACTATGCTGTATTCCCAGATATAACTGATTTTAAGATGCATTTATGCATTGTGGTAACCACCTGACTGGAATTAAAAGCCCTTTATCCCTCCCTAGCCTTCTGTCAATTTAGTATTTTTGACTCATTTTCTTGAATAGGTGCATGTGCAATAATGTATAGTGGAACTGAATCCTAGGATCTAGCATAACATGCAATAATATTTTTTGTTTAAAAATATTTAAATTTTGTGGCTGGTTTTGTGTGTTTTGATCATGTACAATTTCATTATATTTCTTGATTTCAGGCAGTTCAGTTGCTGCATTCGTTTCCTCTTGATACAAAGCTGAAGGATGGGAGTAAGTATAACAGCACAGTCATAGCTAATAGCAACATGAGAATATTAAATGGTATTATTTTAGAATCCTGAAGATTCTTTTAAGATCCTGGAAGTTAACCTTTTGCTGTTGTGGATATGTGCTATTCACTTGAAAGCAGGGCAGTACTGCTTCCAGATGTTTAACTTTTTTCAGTTCACATCAAAGTGGTACATGTACATTATCAGGCTTGGAGAGATTGCTTGTCTGAATATATGGTTACAATAGTGTCTGCTAGATCCACCTACTTCTCTCACATCATTGAAAATTACAATAACAAACCCAGACATCTTTTCGCCACCATCAACAACCTGCCTCATCGCAACTTTGCAACACATTCTTAGATTTCTTTAGCTCCAAGATCGCCAACATCTGACATCACATTCTCTCCACTGCTCATATAATTTCCATACCTCCTCCCTCCTTATCCAACTTTTCTTGTACCCTCTTCCTGACTCAAAATCACTCAATAAACTAGTTACACACATGAAACCTACCACATCTGTTTTAGATCTCATTCCCACCACTTTATTTCAGTCCTGATTCTCTTCTCTCTTTCCCATTGTCCTCAATATTATAAATGAATCCTTGAGCACTGGCGTTGTACCAGTGGTCCTCAAAACTGCTGCCATTACCCCCGTGTCAACTTTTTTGAACCCCTCCAATCTGTCTTCCATCAACTTCACAACACAGAAACTGCCCTGGTCAAAGTCACGAGCTTCTGATTCTGGTTCTCTTTCTGTACTCATCCCTCTTGATCTCAGTACTGCTTTTGACACTGTTGACCATGGCATAGTTTCTCATTTTGAGACTGTGTTTGGAGTTTCTGCTCTCAAATGGTTCAAGTCTTACCTCACTTATCGCTGTCATTTTGTCTATTTTAATGGGTATAGGTCTGAAATTGGTCTTGTTAAGTCTGGTGTTCCTCGGGGCTACATGTTTCCACTTCGTCAGCTTTTAAGTTCACATGGACACAGCTATCATTTTTTATGCTGATGATACTCAGATATACATCCATATCAAACCTGACACTGATGTGGCAGTCTCTATTCTATCTGATTGCATCTCTGACATAAAACTTTAATGACTCAAAATTTACTTAATCTTAACTGTGACAAGAATGAAGTCATGCTTATTGGCACCTCCATCAACGTTGTAAAGCCAGTCCTGTAACCCTGTCTGTAGATGGTTCTGTACTTGAGCTTCAGTCTAAATTGAAAAACCTTGGGGTGATATTCAATTCTGGCTTAACAATCGACCCACACGTGCAGCATCTTGTCAAAACAACTTTTTTTCACCACAGGAATATCACTATCTTTATCACTAACTGTGGCTGAAAAGCTGATCAGCACGTTTGTGTTCTCCTGAATTGACTACTGTTATGCTCTGCTCGCTGGGGTATCTAATTCTACATTGAACAAACTGCAGTATGTCCTAAATTCGGCAGCCAGAATCCTGACCAAGTCTAGTGCAAGTGATCACATTACTCCTGTCCTGGAATCCCTGGACTGGCTTCCTGACAAAACAGTGTCCTCCAGGTTCAGGGTTAAAATACCATGTTGTAATGGCCTGATGTCCCATTCATGGGAGAACAGTTGGTATATTTTGCGTAATTTAACTATTTAGAATTATACACAGTGTTGTAACAGAAGAGTTCTTGCTCCATGATGAGAGTGAAAACAGATAGGCTTTATTGTATGCATTCAGGGAACACCTCAATAGTAGGGATGTACCATGGTTAAAAAGAATTTGACAGGGTGTATGGTTAAGATCATGTTCAGAACAATCAGCTATTAAGAGAAGTTTAAGTTGTCTGACCAGCATTCCAGACGGTGCCTTACCTCCCTTACAGCCTTGAGATAAGCTAAAGTTTCAGAGATAAACAAAATCCCACAGGATTAACAAGGAGATTCATCAACAGTTTTTGCAAATGAGCAGTTTGAATATGTTTAGTATTCTGATATTTGTCTAGTAAAAGTATTACGGGAGGAAGAAATAAAAATCTAGAAAACAGGTATTGATCACTTAAGCACTGTTAAATACAAGACTGCACACATTGCAAAATGACTTGAAAATTTTTGCCGAGGTCACAAAATGGATGAAGTTTTTTATCTTATTCCGCATAAAGAAGCATTACAAGACTTAACATCATTTTACATCAATTTGAAATAGTTTGTATATTTTTTCTCAGCTACTTATATTGTCAAACCATTTTTACAAATATGTTTTAATTATACATTATTGGGTTAAATGTAAAGGGCTACAATCTATTAGGATTAGTCCTTATTAACTAAAATTTGATTTATTTGCTTGTCTTGTGAGTTTGTTCCTAAGACTGATAGGTGTTCACTATTATCTTTTAAGCTCTACAGTAATAACTGCCTGCACACTATTACATTGAGGTTATAGGGCTTTGCAAGAACAGGGATCACCTACAAACAGCAAGGTTCTACTGATATTTATGCTGTATCCCAATTCTCATACTGTGCCCTAAGTAAAAACTCATAAGTCCTCCAAGTCCACACTTCTGTGACGTAGCACGAGTGTGGACTTAAAATGCGTGAGTATTCAAGGATGCATCATTATCAATAAAAGATTAATGGGACACCCTCGCATAACGGCACTTGCTGGTTAGACGGCTTAAGGTTAAAAATGCTGTCTGTTGATGCTTCTTTTTCAGTGGCTAAGTGCATGCCAGCAGATAATGAAGAATTTTTCATTCTCCTTTCGAAGTTTGATGAAAATTAATTTAATCTTGTCTATCCTTGCAAAAAGTTGTGACATGTTCATTCATGTTGAGCAGGCTCGACTCAAAACAGGTGAAGTAAACAAAGGAAAACTTGGCGATACCACTCTCCGTTTATTCAAAACTTTGTACTACTAAAGGCATTTCATGTCATCTCCCAGTACAAAAATGACAGTATGAGGAACATAACACGTTCATTCATGTTCCATCAAAGTAAACTAAATAAGGTAAACTTGGCAATACCTCAGAGCTTTGTACTGTTAAATTAATGTACTATTAAATATTTAATGTATAAAATACTCTGCAGGTAAACAAATATCACTCGAAATGAGGTCACCAAATATAGGCTTTATGTCAAAACTTTGTACCAAGATTGCATACAGTATGAATCTAAAGTAGCCTAATTAATTTTTACATTAAATATTATGAGTTTTAAAACTGTAAAAAAAGTTAAATTTGAATGAAAATGAATATTTTATTCTTCATGGCAACTTCTCTCTGCTTTGATGGGATACAACATCATTATTCCGCATAGAACTATGGGCAATTCCCTTTATGTGGACTTCAGAGAAGGGCTCATTGGGGGTGCTCGTGAGCACCATTGTTGAAACACAAATTTAGAAATGGGACACCGTAAGCCCTTGCAGACTATGCAAGAACATGCATCTTGAAGGGCGCAGGACCGCAAGTGTGCATATAAGGACACAGCCTTTCATACTATATAAGGCAGATTATCATTTAGAGAATCTGTGATGCACACACGCAAGACAACATGTAATCTGGTTTCCCAACTTAACATATTTACTTAACTTGTTTTACGTTGTTGATAAAAGAAATAAAGTATAATACAGATCCTGTAAATAAAATTACAATAAACATGTTAACTGGGGCATTATCTAGGATAAACATACAGTGGCTGTAGAAAGTCACCACTCCCTTTCAAAATGTTCACCCTTTGTTGCCCTAAAGTCCAAAAGGAAGACATTTTCATTTACAAATTGTAAGAAGTTGGATAAGAGAACACCTCCCTGAGGTAATCACAGCCTTGAGTCTGTTTGGATACATCTCTACCAACTTTGCACACCTAGAGGGAGGAATATTTGCCCATTCCATCTTTCAGAATTGTTCAAGCTCAGTCAAATTGTGAGGTGACCATTAATGGACTGCCCTCTTCATGTCATTACAAAGATTCTCTATGGGATTTAGGTCAGGGCTCTGACTAGGCCACTCAAGCACATTCACCTTCCTGTCCTTCAGCCACTGTATGGTTGCTTTGGCGGTGTGCTTTGGGTCATTATCATGTTGAAAGGTCATGTTGAACAGTGAACTATCTTCCCATTTTCAACTTCCTGGCTGAGGGCTGCAGGTTTTGTTCAAGAATGTGCCTGTATTTTGCACCATCCATCTTTACTTCTATCCCAGTCCCAGCTGAAGAGAAACACCCCCACAGCAGGATGCTGCCACCACCATGCCTCACTGTAGGAATGGTGTTCTTTAGATGGTAAGATGTATTAGGTTTTCGCCAGACGTACCCTTTTGCATTCCAGCCAAAAGTTCGATTTTGATCTCATCTGACCACAGCATCTTTAAGGTGATTTTTGGCATAACACAAATGATGCGACTTGATGTGGCTTTTTTTAAGGATTGGCTTTTTTCTTGCCACCCTCCCATACAGGCCAGATTTGTGGAGCACTTGTGATATTGTTGTCACATGCACACAATGACCAGTCGTTGTCATTAAGGCCTGTAGTTCGTTCAAATATGCCATCTTGGTAGCCTCTCTGATCAGTCTCCTTCTTGCTCGGTCATCCAGTTTGAAGGGATAGCCTGATCTAGGCAAGGTCTGGGTAATGCCATATGCCTTCCACTTCTTAATGATGGTCTTGGGTGTGCTCCATGGGATACTTAAAGCCTTTGTAATTTTTGACTTGTGCTTTTTCACAACTTTATCTCAAAGTTCTTTTGAAAGCACCTTTCCACCCATAGTGGATTCTTTGCTTTGAAATGCACTTCCAATCACTGGAATCCTCTAGAAACAGCTGCTTTTATTCTGAACTCAAAATCACCACAATTGATCACAGGTGGGGCCAGTTAGTTTGTTGTGTGATCTGTAAGATGATTGGTTATACCTGAGCAAGTTTACAAAAGCAATTGTAAGGAGGGTGTTCACTTTTCCAAATAAGGTACAGTATTTTACTGTTGTTATATTAATTAATTTTCAGAATGTTTTAGAATTTTATTTTCACTTGGCTGAAGTGGGTTACTGTGTTTAAATAAAAATGGAACAAGCCTAATTTAATTGTTTTTGTTTTCATACAACAAAAGGTACAAATTATGAAAGAGGGTGGTGACTACCACTGTAACTTTTAGACTAAATTATTTGAATTCAAGTAGCATTACTACTAAAGGTAAACCAGTCTATGAATGCTTGTGCAGTGATATAATCCCTTTAATTAGCTATTCTGTACACAGATAGGTGGTTTTTATTTTTACCTTTCATAAACAGGGATTTGAGGTGTGATAAATCAGCATAGGTTTGCCTTGCCGTCTCCTGAGAAGTTCAGACAAAGGCAGTGTTGGCTGTCTATTTGTACTTTAAACCTTAATACCCTAATTCCACAGCAGTAAATAGGGATCTGAAAAAGCTGACATGGGTCAAACACATTAACCATCATGTGTTTGAATGTTGAAGGTTGCCTAATTACATTTAAGACATTCTTGCATGACTATTTTACTGAAGGTAACCTGTTATAGAAGCAATTAATATGATGTATGATTTGCATTACATACCCAAATTAATTGCTTTAAAATGCAAGGGGTCATTAAAATGGCAGCATTTGCTCAGTAGAATATAGTACACTTAAAGGGTTAAGGTTAGTGAAAAAGAAATTTGAAGATCTGTTTCCTTGAAGTTCTTCTTATGCATCCCATTTTTCTAGTGTATAAATTAAATACAAACAAAATATATCGGTAATTATTGTTTTAAATATTTTTGTGAATTTTCATTGAAAGTAATTTCATTACATCCACACATAAAATTATATATTTTTTTATTTTTCGCATTGAAAGATGTCTGAGGTTTGAGTGGGAATCTACTTTTAATTGGACATGATTAGTAATATGTTTTTCTTTTCTTAGGTTTATTCTGGCAATCTCCCAAACGGCCACCTTCTCCGATAGATTTTGACTTCAAAGATCCTCTGTAAGTAACTTCTATCATATCAGAAAACTTCAGTAATTGTGTACCCAGCATTCTAAATAGGGAATGCATGTACTTCATTTATAACTTTGTTAGAGATACACAAGCCAGGAATTGGAACAATGTATTTAAGTTGTAATTTCTGTCAATATTAAGAACCTGCTTTTTCCAGTTGATTGAAATCCACACACTACATTCATTTCCATTTTTACATAACATTGTAAATGAGGGAACCTGTGAATAAAAGAACTTGTGACTTCTATTTGCTCTCAGGAGCTAACCAAGACTGGACCTGGTTATAAGACATCTAAAATCCAGTTGCTATTGTAATAGGCATTGGTGGACTAGTAGATGGTCTTCTGTCTGGAGTTGAATTTCCAAATCAATATGATGATGGGGCAGTGTGCTTTTGGAGGTACTGTGCTTCAGTGGAATGGTAAACCGAGGTCCAAACTACTTGGTCTCTAAATATATTATAGCTCATAAAGAGCAGAGCTGCCCTTTTTGTTTCACACTGGCCTCAATCTCATGTACCTAAATTTCCACCCCAAATCAATTGGTAAAGTCCTGCTTCTTCACCTGATCTATTATGTAGTGGGGCTGATGGGGCTCCTTTACCCTAATGGACAACCAATTTTAAATACAATGTTTAGCATAATAATAGCATATTAACAAATTTAATCTGTATTTGTGGAATGGAATTGTATTGTATGAAGACTATATTGTTTTAAACTTTAAAGAATCACCACAGCAGAATTATAAGTGCTTGTCATATTTTAAATATTTGTTGAGCTCTGTAATACTTTCTGTCCCTCAAGGCACTTCAGTTTTATTGTTAGTGCAGCAAGACTGTTTGCAGAGATGTATAACATCCCACATGCAGAAAAGGTAAGCATCTATATGGCATTCATTTCTACATGGTAAAAGCTGGTTGTCATAACACTAATTTTCACGCATTAAAAAGTTTATAAACCATGGTGTCAGATACACTTTTTTATATTTCAGGGTTAGAAAGAATCAACATTGATGAGTGCATTTCAAACCACAATAAAAGTAAAATGTTCACAGTAACTTGTAGATCACAAAATAGACAAAATTTGTAGGTATGCTCAATGCCATATTCTGTGATTTCAAAACAAAGCAGCCTTATTACGCTGTAAACAAGCAGGTTTGTGAACACATCTCTTTCAATCCAATAGCAATATTGCTCTCTACTTTCGAAATGGGTCAGAAAACAAATACTACTTATCTCTGCATGCAGATTGCATTTGAATGTTTCTGTAGTGAAATGGGTGCTGCACAACCAGTAATGTAAAGTCATTACAGTGACTAGTGAGCACAAAGGTCCGCTTCACATCACAATTTGCGCCATCTCTTGCTCTCACCAGTGACAAAACTAGATGTTTGCAAAAACATGGGGATTTATAGAACTTTCACAAAATTCATGATTTTGTGCTCATAATTTTTTATATACTATTAATGAATTTATTTTGTTACCAAGATTTAATACCCAGTCTGAGAAAAAGGACTGCAGTTCCCCTTTAAAGAAAGTGGGAAATTTAACAGTAGAGCGACACTTTAAAAACCAGTGTTCTTGTTAGCCTAAAATGTTATCATGATTTATTACATTATGTTTAGTAATGTATGATATTTTGCTGTTTGTTTAGATTTGTATTCTTGAGTTGTGATAGTTTGGATATTCGCTAATATGTAGAAAGGTCAAGAACTAGCCTGCTCTGAAGTATTTTTGCACCTGTTCTCCCTGCTGTTGGCTGTAAGACTTGGGAGGTTTTAGGTTTTAATCTTGTACATGACATATCACATGTGCTCTTACTAACAAAGTTTGCCTAGGTGGAACAGTTTATCGTAATGTGATACTCAATGTCTTGCCCACATATAATTCCAAATTTAATTTCATGTAGACATTCCAGTTTTGTAAAGGGACACAGAAAAAAATATTTTTACAATATCTAAATATCTTCTTCATGAATTATGATCATTCCTTTGATAAATAGCTCTGTGTTATGCATTTAATTCAGAAAAACTATATCTCGTGTTAAAGATGCTGGTTTGTACTCACTAATTTGTTTTATTAGTTCTTATATTAATGGGCGTGTATGTACCTTTAGGAAAAACTTAAGTGAATGTTATGGCCATAATTTAACCCAAAAAAGAGATTAAACCAGATACAAATTCTAAAACAATTTTGAAATAATTAAACCAGAAGTAGTTAACTCTTTTTAGTAGTACTGTGTACCCAACAACACTTGTAGTGTATGACTCACAATATTAGGTGATAAACAGTTAAATCGAAATTACATTTGCTATTGTCTTAAGGGGTATGGTTTATTTTACCACTGAAATACAGTAATTAAAAATGACCAACTAGATGTACTTGATGATTATTATAGTATCGTACTTATAAAACCAGTAATTTAATTTTAATTGTTTCATTGTGAAAACTTAATTTCCTGATCATGTTAGGTTGTTCCTTCAGAAATCAATGAGTGCCCCTTGGTCTCAATTTAGAAAGGAACCAATACACCAATTTGATTTTCACATACAGTGTATGCCTGTTATATTGTTACAAATGGGGGGTTACAAAAAATGTTGAAAATCAGGAATTGACCTAGCGATTTAGTCAGTAAGTAAAATTATTATTCATAACCCCCAACTTGTACAGGGTAAGTGCCTTTTCAGATAATACCCGAGCAGTTGGTATAATTAGAGGCATGTGAATTCTTTATCTGGCATAGCTTTGTTGATAGGAGTAATAATCCAGTCATACTTGGTAAAACAAATATTTATTACAATGACACAAACTACACTACACACAACAAAACAAAACGTACAACACACAAATTACTCTTCTATTACTAAGAAGAGATTTGTGGATAGTAAGCAATCCGCAAAGACCAAGTCTTGCTAGGAAGACAACAACAGTTTATGAAGGAAAAATCATTAGAGCTGTTAAGAAAAACCCTCAAATAGCAGTCAAATATATTGCAGAGAATCTCCTGACAGGCAGAAACTGGCATAGAAATATTATGATGCACACAGACAAACAAGCAGATGGATAGATTATACACATACAGTAACACATACTGTAGATTGTAATCTCCTGAGTGCAGAGGTGAAAGTATCTTAATTCACTGCACTTCACCATGAGAATTACAAAGACTACACTGCAAGATACAAACCTGTCATTAGCACTAGAAACAGAAAGGTCAGGTTAAAACATGCAAAGAAGTACAAAGGTGAGCCACAAAAGTTCTAAAATAATTGGTAGTATGGTATGGTAAAGATACTGTCATTCATGGCTGCCTTTTTGAACTGTCTCACTAGTCTTTATTGATAATGTAAGAGATGATGGCAGCAGAATTAATTCTGAAGTGTACAAAAACATCATTTCAGCTCATATGCAATAAAAGTTTTACCGGTTCACCCAGCATCAAGACAATGAACCAAACCATACTACACTCTTAACCTAGGAGTTCATCAACAGAAAGTGGAAACTTTAGAATTCCAATTCAACAAGAAGTAGAACTTTAGAAAGTCAGTCTCCTGATTTGAATCATGAAAGCATTCATTTACTTTGTTGAAAATGAAACTAAAATCAGTAAACACCACAAACGAAAGGGGCTGCAGTTAAGGGTTGGCAAAGCAGGAATGTATCAAGAGTCTGGTGATGTTGATGGGTGACAGTCTTAAAAGAGACATTGCTTGAAAGAGGTATAAGTCCAAGTACTGACTTGAAACTAGTTTAACCAAAAGAAAATTATTTTTTCCCAATACTGTTGCTGACCTGAAATTGGGGGATTGTACAGAAAAACATTTTTGTTTTAACATGGATTCACTTGTACAGTATGCACAAAAATATCCAGAAATAAAAATAAAATCTGTTCATATTTATCTTCTGATCTGAAATACAAATTTCAGTTGTACACAGCAAAATTGAACATTTGTATAAACATCTTCAATAATTTAGGTATTACGGTATGAGATGAGTAGCACATATTCCTCATTTGAATGACATGAGAAATGCTGAGTGTTTTCTTAGAGATATCTCCCTAAATGATTCTCTATTGGGCAAAATGTCTTGATTTAAGATGGTCACACATTATAACTGCCCATAACTGTTAGCATTTGTTTGTGAATTATATGGATTTCCAGTGCCTCAGACATAAACTTATGGCCTGCCTGTATCACAGCTTTTCTTTTCCTGAAAAATTTCTAAAGATGTTTACCTTTTCTCATTTGATCAATAGGATCTATCACCAGAAACCATCATCCGGATCATTTCAGGCGTAACGATTCCAGAATACAAGCCTGCAGAAAAAGTACGTTTCTCAAGGTCTTTTAAATAATTTATTTTTTCAGTTTAGAACAGAATCAAAACGACCAATACCCTTTAACTTTCAATGAAGCAGCCTTTTGATCTTGTTCATTTTGAAATGTTGCCATTGAGTAAAATAATACTATTTCTCACTGATATGCTTCCTCAAAAGAAACAGGTTTAAGACTAGCAGGGTCATATTATCCATTGTTGTGTCTAAAATGATATGGACTTCATGAGTCAGGAGTTAATGGTGGCAATCCCTCGCTGCATGCCAGCAACAGATCCCAGATCCTTACTGGTCTTTTATGGATTGGAACTAGAACTTGGTTGCTGCTTTTGATTGCTTCCATTCCATCTGCCATCCAGTTTTTGTTTTCTGATCCTAGTCCTGTCTAGTCCTTTTCAGGTATCCCCCCCCCCTCCGCTCACAACTCCAGTAGGCATGTGGTTGGTCTGGTGACAATGCAGTGCTGGTCTAGCACTGTCCTAACAAAAGATTTATCCCAGTATAGGACCATGGAGTCACACCTCAAGATAGAATAATGTGTGAGGATCACAGGCTATGCAACTAAGAATCACTGCTGGTCTCCTGACAGTCTGCCAATCATCTGTCCTGCAAGATCTCTCTGAAAAGCCATCTGACTTGTGTGATATAGTTTGCAGCGATCAACACTCATGAGCCAAACAGCTCTACAGGTTGCCTGCTCCTTGATAAGGGCCAGACAGTGGTCTTTTCCTGAATGCTCATATAACACATAGTCACATTTTTAGCCTAGTAGTGGAGGAGAACTTAACGGGGTGAGCTGGTGGCTATAGTTCTTCTACCTAAATATGCTGAAAAAGAAAAGAGACTCAGTGCTTTAGGGTCTTCACATTACATCCAGATGCCCTTGCATCAGTATTTTGGCCTTCCCCAGTTTGGGACCTGAGATAGCTCTCTCTGAGGACCTCTCCAATCCACCATAATTGGGCTACTGCACTGCCTGGACTTGCCTTCCAAAAGTGCCTCCTGTCACAATCTTGCAAAGTAAAAGAGGTCAAGTTGTTAAATGTAATGCAGTGTACTATGTGGAACAACTGAATCATTTACCATAATCCCTTTTCCACTTAAGTTTCCCCACTGCTCATTTTTGATAGTGCAGGCTGGAACAAACACCTTACTAGGCATTTAACAGACATCTGATGTGGAGCAACACATTCATATCTTCAGAAATTCTTCAGTACTGCTATTTCAAATGTATTTTTTGTAGGAATAAGAGGTGAAACTTGCTTTTACTATTCATTTTGATCTCCTAGAATTTAGAATTTGAAACCAAGAAACAAATTCTTATCTTTGGCAGTATGTGGAAGTGCCAGTTAGTGGAAATGTTAAATTTTAACTTGTTTTAAAAACATACTGTAAGCTCTTAGTGGCCTCTTGTGATTTTTAAGTTGGTTGTTTTACATGCAAATATCAAGAATCAAAAGAAAATGTTAAAACATTTCCTGTAATATAAAATAGGAGGCTATGTGTAACTCCTATTTCATGAGAATTGTGGCTACATTTTACCATCACTGTCTTCTTTTATCGCTTTTTGTCAAAATTTTTCAACAGAAAATTGAAATAGATGAAAATGCCAGGAAGCCAGAGCAGACGAAGCTTGTGGTAAGCAGTGAAGAAGAACAGGAAGCTATCTCTCAGCTGGAGGATGTCATCTCTTCTCATGCTGTCACAAAAGGTATTATATACTTGATGTAATCTGTGGCAGTTCCTACATTCCGCACATGTATACACACATTTTCTCTCTAATTCCGTCAGTAAAAGAAAAAACTGTGGTAAAAATTATCTTCATTGCCTTTTTAAAACTAAGATTCAGTATTTGGTTCTAGAAATTATAGATCTGGGGTGCCACACCCATTTGCCTGTTATAGCACATTTAAGCTTTTATTAGTTTTAAACAAATCAGGCCCTGGTTTTAAATAAAATATCCAATATTGCACCTGCCCAAAATGCTCTACTTTTCTAGTGTATATGGTGTAGAGAGATGTTTAGGGAGATGTAAACATGGTGTCAGAATCTCAAATGATCTTTCAAAGAAAATTGTAAAAGTTTCTCTAACTGAGCTGAAGAAGCAGACAATCGAGACCAGAGGTTTACAAAAACATTTTTCTCTGGTGACTGTGATATCCAACCATCAACACTGGCAGGTGGGCACTTTAAGTAATTCTTTGTCAATCACAACATAGTACATAGTATAATTTAATTAATATTGCTATATTATACCTTTAGGATTTACTTAGAAATTTCAGCACATTTATGTCAGTAAATGCTTCATATGTAGTCAAACTTAAATACAGTAGCTAACAAAACTGTTCACCCCCCCTCCTTGGACATTTTATTGCTTTACAATATGGAATGATAATGTATTTAAATGGTAAATGGTATTTACATTTTTGCCATTGATCAACACAATGTTAAAGTGAAAACAAAATTCTACAGATCCTCCTAAAGTAATTATAATTATAATAATATAAGAGAAAATGCCATGACTTCATGCAAACCATTCTAATGAAAAGAAATGGCACAAGTATAAGAGTGTTTCTGTATGGGTGGTGCAACTTCAACACACATTTCACATATTGTACTTTTGCAAATGGCTAAAAAAGAAAAAAAATGTTTACATGACATGATCATTCAATTCAATTCAATTTATTCACAACAAGGTTGCCCCAAGGCGCTTAACAATGTAAGTGACCATACATGTGAATACAGAACAGAAAAGACCAGAAGACAACGAAGGAGAGGTTCCACATAAACCAACGTCAAACTCAAACCTGTGTAACAAAACAGAGTGGTCAACCGTGTCAAAGGCAGCACTAATATCTAGAACCACAAGAACTGTTGCATTCTCCACGTCAGTAGCTAACAGAATGTCATTTACAACTGTTGTTAATGCAGTTTCAATGTGGCATTTGTTTGTTTAATGCATCCTCACACGGGGATGTGCACATGTGGACATCTGATTTCCTTCCACAGTCCGAACACGTTGTGCAAGTTCATCTCTGAATTACCCTATCCTATATGCATGTATGAGTGCCTTAATAACATAAGGACTACGTTAAAAATAAAAATAATGCTTTATTTAAAAACATAAAAGACAGCCACAAACAGTTACTACAAGTAGGCTACAAAAATATCCTGAATGTCTCAGTTTGAAAACACATGCATTAAACATATACTGTACCAAAACATATTTCAGAGTTCAGAATCTTCTTCAATCATCTGTCTTCTTTAGGCAAATTTTCATTGAGGTGAAATTTTTTTCTAATTTTTCAGATCATCTCCACATTAAACCAGTGTTTTTTGAGAAGGATGATGACAGCAATGGACACATTGATTTCATCACAGCTGCTTCCAACCTGAGAGCCAGAATGTATAACATTGAGCCAGCCGATAGGTTGAAGACAAAGAGAATAGCTGGCAAGATCATTCCTGCCATAGCAACAGCTACTGCAGCCGTGTCAGGATTGGTTAGTATGAAGATCAAGAGCTGTTTCATGGACTGTAATGTAGTATTCTCATCTCTTGTTTTATGAGCACATTTGGTTACAAAATCTCTTGCTTGTGGTTTGATAATATTTTAAAAAATTATGCATTCAAAATATTATTCCAGACCATAACTAGTGTAATGCCCTTACAGTTTATGTTAAGATTGGAAAAACAGTGCAGTTGCTTAACCTATGTTCAGTGACTGCATTCATGATGTAGTGTAACCAGTTTTCATTTTAGAATATTGATTTACATTTTGTAGTTGTTCCAGAGTCCCACCACCATTTATATAAAACTAATTGCTTCCTGTTTTGAGTTAAATGCACTCCCTTGTAATTTCATCTTGTGCTCAGTGCTGATCCTGAATAAGTCCAATGAGTTGACATTGTCAGTGCCTTTGAGTGTTGTTGAATTGGGTCCTTTCATAGTCTTCTCTGTTTTAGACTCAATTAACTTAGCCTTTCAGTGAAGGATTTTAATGTCACTCTTTTCTGGAGTGATTTCAGGGCAACAGTACCTTTTTATAACAGAGATTTAAATTATACACCATATTCCAAGTGAGGCCTTATTAAGGCATTATTCTAGCAGTACATTGTATCTTAACATTGCTTGCTTTCTTATTGCTTCTCCATGTGTCTGGAACATAAAAAATATTGTCATTATAGACACCCAAAACTTTTACAAGGTACCTTCTTCAAACACTGTAATTCGCATCTTATATGTTCTTGCACTTTGTATTTCTCGTAATTTTAGGATGTTTTTTCTTTATCCTGTTTTCTAGGTGGCTTTAGAGATAATTAAAATTGTTGGAGGACACTGCTTTGACTCTTTCAAGAACTGTTTTTTCAATCTAGCAATTCCAATCATAGTGCTCACAGAACCTGCAGAATTGAAACGGACAAAAATTAGGTAGGAGCATTCTGTTTGAGATAATTAATGATATATAGAAAGTAAATTCTTCCCAGAATTTTTGTAGCATAGTATATGTATTATGCTGATTAGCAGTTACTACTAAGGTTCTAAGGGAATCTGTGCAGTGTTTCGTGGTTTTGTGTTAGTAAAACACAAAACTTATGATTGTTTGCCTTTGTTTCATCGTGTCTTTAATAAGAACAGTTTAAGCATAAAAATAAGTTTATTGATTAAATGTTTTCCTACACAAAAATAACAAATTTAAAACTAAATTGTTGATGTTCACAAGTTTAAAATGAAATAATGTATACAAAGAACTGGACATCAAACCTACTACCGAGAGCTTTGATTATGGAAGTAATGTAGTTAACAAACTACAGTGTTATACTGTAGCTTTCATGCTTTGTTGTGTATTTATCTCCTCTACAAAGCCTTCCATTTCTTTCATTCAGAAGGCCATTAAATCATGAAAAAAAAACGTTAAAAACTATAATTTGTCTAATGTAACAATGTTCCTTATTTTTCAGTTATATGAAAAAGATATTTAAATGAAGTTCTCAACAATTGTGGTTCAGACCAAGCTAGGGTTAAAGAAAATCCAGAATTTCCATTTTTAGCACTAAGGTCTTATAGTATTTTTTAACTTTTCATGTCTACAGTTCCCGTGCCTGAATTATACATGTAATGAAAAAGTTCTAATTTTTTTACAGAGAACACATTTATTTCTCAATCTGGGACCGATGGACAATTTATGGAAAAGAAGACTTTACCCTTTCTGACTTCTTTAATGCTGTGAAGGTAAGACCTCTTTTTTCATTTTTTTGCTTTATTCTTGTTTAATAAGAGCAGGACTTCCAGCGTAAGCATTGTCTTTTATCTACTGTGTTAAATTAAAACTTGGAAGGAAGGGAGCCTGTTAATCTTCCTAAAATGTATAGGTTGTGATGTGTCAATGAAATGAAAAAGTCAGAGTTCTTGGTTATATAGAAAATGAATGTAGAATATAAAGTCAAGAGAAGTTATGTTGAAACCATACCAAGCATAAATTCGAACATATCTGAGGTACTGCCTATCATTCTGATTTCCACTCAAAGGTATCAAGAAAGTCCAGAGAAAAGAGACAAAACATACTCTAGGATTTAAGAAGGACAAGCTGAAGGAACATGATTCTTTCAGTCACAGTACAAGATGCCTGATTAGGAATCTGCACAGTTATTTCACGTATAGTGAGCAGAACATGGACATGTTACTATGAACTGGTTAAATGCCATTTTCACACAAATATTCAAAAATTAACCATTTTCATTGTTATTCATTGAATGCATTACTGTAGTGGAGACAATCAAGATGTACTCAAAGCCCCTGTTGTCCAGAGCAATAATTGTAGAGAGCAGCATAGTCAAAAATCCTCTCTAAAATGGACATTAAAACCAGTATAGTATTCCCAGCACTGGTTTTCTGTAATAAAAGTTATTTGATGAGTGGCAGGTAAAAGAACCACTTACAGATACCAACTTCTAGATGTCTATTATTTATAACAATAAAAGCCAATACTACATTCTTTCCAAAGTAAAATGTATTTAATTTATAACAGGATATGGAAAGCACAGCATTAACCAGTTATTGATAATGTATTTCCTTAGAAAAGTTGTTATCCTGTGCTATTTGTTTATCAATTAGGCCTTGGTCATTAGTATTTACAGGTGCATGTTTACCTACAGTGGATATAAAAAGTCTACACTTTTTTTCTGATGTAAAGCCAAAAATCAAGATAAATCATGTCAGACATTTTTCCATCTTTAATGTAGCCTTGCAACCAACAAAATCGAAGAGAGAAACAAATAGATAATTATTAGGAAAAATAATTTAAATGGAAAAAAAACCTATAACACCCTGGTTGCATAAGTGTGCACACCCTTTGATAATAGGGGCTATAGCTGTGTTCAGAGTTAACCAGTCATCCAAAGTTGTATCAAGATATTTTGGCACAAAACCTGCTGGCCTCAGAAAGTGGAATATGAAGAGGAATTTCACCTTCCAACATGATAACAATCCAAACCACACATCCAAGTCAACCAAGGAATGGCTTCAGAAAAGGAAGATCAAAGTCTTAGAATGGCCCAATGAGAGTCAGCGTCCAGGTGTGCGAAGTTGATTACAAAGACTTTCTGCTGTAATGCAAAAGGTGCTTCCACAAAGTATTAGTTGGTGGGGGGTGTGCACACTTATGCAATCAGGGCGTTGTAGGTTTTTTCATTTCAATTATTTTTCCTAGTAATTATCTATTTGTTTTTCTCTTGAATTTTGTTGGTTGCAAGGTCACATTAAAGATGGAAATATGTCTGACAAGATTCATCTTGATTTCAGGCTTTACATCACAGAAACCTGCAATTTCAATAAGGGTGTGTAAACATTTTATATTCACTGTAAGTCCTAGTAATGTCATTCTCAGAATGGTATGTACAACTTTGAGAGAGATGTCAGGTTCTTGTAAAGCAGTCCTGCAGTTCCCCAGGGCATGCTGCATGGCATCAAACAGCTTCACCAGGCTAATCCAATCTGACTAGATGACTTTTTCTGTCATCTAAGTCCAGGTTTACAAAAGGACTCACCAAGTATTCACAAGTCCAGCTTTATTTAGCTCAGAGGTACAGCTACTAGTATTTTGCTGTTCAGTAACCAAGGATGTGTAGTTTCTTATCCTGTTAATCTATCATGATAAGTACTTTTTTTTCAGGAAAAATATGGTATAGAACCAACCATGGTCGTGCACGGTGTTAAGATGCTTTATGTTCCAGTAATGCCAGGACACAACAAGAGACTTAAACTCACGTAAGTAGAACATCTTCACTGAAACATACAGATCTTACATTATTTGTGGCAAGCTTCATATAACTTTTGGTCCTCATGTAGTCATTGTATTTTCTTAAGCTATTGGTTCTAGAGCTCATTTGCTATTTTTAGTGACTTTTTATGAACTGTTCATGAAACAATAATTTTATTGTCTCTCAGATAAACAAGTCTGTGTTCCTACTTTTCTCATGTGCACTTTTAGGATGACTTTAATAAAATCCAAGTATTAGAGTAATAACCTTGGGGATCAACTTGCCATTATATTCTCAACATTAATAAGAAATTCATTAAACAACAATTTAATTGACTCATAAGTCTTTATAGACTGTTTTCAGATAGATTATCATTCAATCTTAATCTTCTTTCACTGTTAATGACAGGAGTCTACTAGCAGAAAAAAATATTTCAGTCTCAGGGTGTCTCTAGATCACAAATGCATTGCTGCATCTTTTAATGAATACGTTTCTACAGAATGCAAAAACTCATCAAGCCATCATCCGAGAAGAGGTATGTAGATTTGACCGTATCTTTTGCACCTGAATCCAATGGAGATGAAGACTTGCCTGGACCAGCTGTAAGATACTACTTCTGCCCGGAAGACCTCTGAAGTACCCATAACTGAGAAATGAAGGACCACTAGCATTTGAACAGCAGTGTAGCACTTGACTGTAAATGACTTTACATATTACTGCATACCTCTCTATGCAGTTGCCTTAATCTGTGTTCAATATTGATCTTGTTAATTATCTTTATAAATGAACTAGTAAACTTGTACACCCGGAGATCATTTTTTGTGTTTTTTTTTACATTCTTTACTTTGAATACACATGTAGAACAAATGATCAAAACACCATATATATTTGTATATTGCTAATTTATTTTTTGCCTTGACTCATTTAGTGCTGATGCATTCATGCATTGCAGTGTTTACCAGTATACATTGTTTTGCATTTAACAAGAATATAATTTATCTTTTTAGATGTACAAAATGAGATATACCAGGTAAAGTAAACATTTGCAATACCAAGGAAATTATGATGAAATTCATCATCATTTCTTAGTGATAAGTGGCAATAAGCTTCACAAAATTGAAGGTTAGCTTAAATTTAACAGCACCAAGAGTTGTTGTGAAGTCATAGTTTTAAAAATTATTTTTACAACAGAAGTGTTACAGACATTATTATATGTAATTTTCATGGACAGATTTTCACGTAGTCTGTACTTGGTAATCACAGGATGTTCTATAATTCTTCAACTGTGGCCTTTGGATCTTTGTCTCCCAAACCATACTTCTCACAGTCATGGGACAAAAACACTTGTTTCCTACACTACACTAGTCAAGTTTACCATTGTCCCAGTGGTTTTAAACTCAGTAATTGTTGTCCTTACAGTAGTGAGAGGTATATTTATTTTTTAAACCCATTACCTGATTTATGAAGGTCAACAGTCATTTTATTCTTTTCATTTGTGAGTTCTTTTCCTTTCACCATGGTGATGAATGACAAAGGGATTTTATATACAGTGGATATAAAATGTCTACACACCCTTACTGAAATTGCAGGTTTTTGTGATGTAGAATTCAAGATAAATCATGTTAGACATGACATGTTTTTCCATCTTAAATGTGACCTTGCAACCAACAAAATTCAACAGAAAAACAAATACATAATTATTAGGAAAAAGAATTGAAATAAAAAAAACCTACAACACCCTGGTTGCATAAGTGTGCACACAACCCCCAACTAATACTTTGTGGAAGCAACTTTTGCATTTATTACAGCAGTAAGTATTTGTGAATACTTGGACATTGCAATTTTATCCCACTCTTCCTTGCAAAAAAGTTCAAGCTCCTTTAAATTGCCAGGGGATCTCCTGTGAACAGCCCTCTTGCGGTCATTCCACAGGTTTTCTATGGGATTGAGGTCTGGGCTCTGACTGGGCCATTCCAAGACTTTGATCTTCCTTTTCTTTAGCCATTTCTTGGTTGACTTGGATATGTGCTTTGGTCATGTGCCATAATCATTATTATAGTCATTATCTAGTTGCCATAAGACTATTGCATTATCCAGGTTCGGACTAATCAAAGTTGAACATTTGCACCATTGAGTGACTATATCTAAATATAAATACAACAAGTTAGCTTTTAAAACATAGGAAGCTTTAATTATTAACTATCTGTAATTGAAATTACAATTACAATTACAGATTATTCATTGTGCATATGGTTAAGACGATAATTGCAGGGACAAAATTGTAGAATGTATTACCTCAAGGTTGTTATAGCCCAACCTTTTTTGATTTAGACAGTAATTACTTTTACCATCCCACTCTCAATCATTCATCTACACATATCAGCTGAGGCTTACAGGTTCACTGAGTGAGGATGCAGAACAGGAGGTAGACACTCTTAAGACATGGTACCTTCAGCCCAATACCAGCAAGACATCTCTAGTACAATTAATCTTCCTCATGCCAATACTAAGAGGTAGCTGAATTATGTAATGAATGGACAGAAGCTAGTTTGAAGCATACACAGTTGGCTTAGGCATTAACCTCAATTGAGTACTGCTTTATAAAAGCCAAGACACACACAATAAAAATCACAGCACGTTAGCAAGGGGAATAGATGCCTTCACCAAGTCCTGTACCTGGAGGGCCTGGTGTCTTTTTGCCTTTGTTCCACTCATGCTCTCAGTTGGTCTTAAAAATAATTGACAACTTATTTTAACTTTAAAACCCTTAACCTTTACCCCAGTATGGAGCCAGTCAATACACAGTAGTACACACTGTTCAAGCAGTTTATCTTGAGACGTATTGCTTCCACATGCAGCATTAAGAGCAAGACTGAAATTGGCAAGCTGCTTCAGAAGCTACTTCTGTTCAATTGTTTTTACTTTTGTAATCATTTTTACTCTGCCAGTTTCGTCCATCCACATCCACATTGTTCAACAGTGCCAAGCCAGGACATGACAGTCTATGTGGCAGGAAGATTGACGCTCAATAGTAATCACCAATTGGTTGCAGACCCTGCTGCGCATTTACCAGCCTTCCACCTCACCATTGGTGGATCATTCTTGATTAAATTAGGATTATGCCAGATCTATCTTTAGCTTAAAACTATTGTTGGGGTCTTTCAAGACAATCTAGACTGAAGCTCCAGTATAATGCAAATATTGATAGATATTGTTGAGGAGTGCCTGCAGTCTGCAGTGTCTGCAGTGAGCTCTGGCAGCACCAGTTGGCACCTAATAATGCTATTGATTAACTTACAATCAAGTATCAAGTTGTTTTTAGGTGGATTGTAGGGGATTGTCTTCAATAATATGTTAGGCAGTTTGTTGCAGGGAATAGCTAACCTGAACAGTTGTGCTCTTGAGTAGCCGTATATACCTAGTGGGTTTCAGAGCCATGTTAAGCTCATAGATGAGAGATACAGTTGACCCTTATCTGTAGTAAGAGCAGAAATACATTCTGTGGTTTTAGGCATTGTAAGAGGACCAGGGGAAGGGTCATTTATAACTGGTATTTCCGTTACGAAACACTGGATATACTCGATATAGACCTAGGCAAGACGGTCGCCAAGGATAACCAGCTGACCCACTGTTGGAAAAGATCTATGTGGCAAAACAATGAGGCACAAGTGAGCTGCTTCAGGAAACAGAATATAAATGGCCCTTCCCCTGGTCCTCTTACAGCATCCATGGCAATAAATATTTTATACACTCTGGTAGTGTATTTATCATTTGATTCCAAAAAATGAAATAATTTGTTATTCTCAGAGTATCACAATAATTAATTGTCAAACATCATGGTTCATTAGGGTCAAATTTGAACTCAAAAGATATCTGGTACCACATAAGGCATTTCCTAAAACTACAACTTGCCTTATCAGTTTCTGAAGGATAGACAATGTTCAAGTATTGTTTCTCTTCTTAGGGATTCTGAGAAGGCACAGGAAGAGATGGACAGGTTTGCATAATTGGACCAACTCTTGCACTCTTTCAGCTGTCTGAGGAAGTAAAGGCGCTATTGCGCCTTCTTTGTAGCTCCAGTTACATGCTGGGATCACATAAAATCATTGAAATAATGAAGGTACTCTGGAACTTGAAGCTGCTAACCATCTCTACAGCTAACCCTCTGATATGAATAGGGTTGTGGTCTCCACCCAGCTTTCTAAAATCGACAAGCAGCTCTTCGGTTTTGCTGATATCAGGGCACCACTCCACCAGGTTCCCGACCTCATCCCTGTTGGATGTCTCATTGTTACTGGTAATTCCGGTACTGGCAGCACATTATTGAGAAAGACATTTAAACCATCAATTTTTTCCTTGAAAATCCACCAAAACACAAGAAAATACAATGCCTGCCATGTTTGGCTTGAATATATTTGTGTCTTCGAAGTACCTGTGTGGACATTTTCTTTGTAGAAAGATAATCCTTTTAATATTTTATATGTAAACTTCATCACTGGTAAAGTTCAAATTAATTTCACCTTTATCCTATTGATATTATGGTGTTTTTAATGAAAGTGTGGGAGGGATGAAGACAGCCAAACTAATTAAACTAATTCAGCTGCTGCAACTTGCAGTAATTCTGATGCTCATCCTCCAGCCCATGCTCACGCTCCAGTTCCTCCACAACATTTTCTGATTTCTATCCCCAAAGCCACTGAGCTTCAGGTCCCAGGTTTATCTAACCCCTCCTACAACGATCTGCTTTATGCTTTTTTCCTTCTTTTCTTCCTCTATTTCCAGCGCCCAATACTTGTGCCTTCGGCCCTGGATTCCAATCTTTCTTCCCATGCTGCTGCTGGTACCTTGGCTCTGGGTGTGCCCGGCGTCCTACCTTAGGCTCAGCCAGCGAGTAACATACTAAATCGTTTGTCTCTCCTATCCCCTGGCATCCAGTATAGCTCAGTGGCGGCTCCAACTGCCCAACCCCTACCCTCTACTTCATTCAACCCATTATTCCATCCTGCACCACCTGCCAGTCATGCTCCTACTCCCATCTCTCCTACCTCAGCCCCCCCTTAATGGACTTTTCTCTCTGTACAGCAGTTCCCCTCCCTGCTCCTCATAATGCACTGGTGTTAAGTCCTCCTCCCATTCCCCTCTCACTCTGGCAACAAATTCTATAAGGTGCAGACATCAATCTTGCTTGCCTTCTCTCTTTCTCTCCCTACAACCCCTACTATGTTTGACTGTGGTTCAGCCTTCGTTACTCTCAAATATTCCGATCTGTGCTTTGCTTCAGTTCTCACAAGTTCCGAGTTTTGCCTGGCTTTCAGCATCTTGTGTTTTGTCTTTCCCGATCGTCGACAGGAGCTCGACGTTTACATGCACACCATCCTTGATTTACCCGTCCACTTCAGGGGTTCCCTGTTCTATGACTATCATAAGCAGTTTTCAGCTAAGGCTGCTGCCCACCTGCTCCAGTGGAACCAGCGCATACTCCATACTGGGGAGCTTTACTGCCATATATTTGCCGGTGTCAGATCTCTTTCCTATAACATTTGCTCATCCCAGTCACACTCCTCAAACCTTTGCCCAGATACCATCCACAAGCTTGACCCCAACCCTGCCTCTTCTCCATAATCCATATTTTCCCTTCAGGTCTTTTTCAAACCTACACATTCCAGAGACGACAGCGGTCACCCTATCATGATGGCTGGAGGCCAAATTTGCAATAATTTCGATTCCTTTACCTGTAACTCTTCCTCTTGTTTCTTCCATTTGTAGCTTCTGTGATAAAGCTCACACTCACTCAGTGTGCTCCCGGCCTTTCTCTGCCCACTTTACTTCTTATGCTCGCCATGCTTCTAATGGCTCATCTGTTTACCCCAACTGACATTCCCACTCTCGCCTTCAACTTGCTCCACCACTCTGACCTCTTTTTAACTCACATTTTCCTTGATTTTCTTTCCTTTCTCACCAGGCTTGTGCACAGTTCCTTCTTCCCCTGCCATCTTCACTATCTTGCAGTCTGCTACTGCTTATCCTCAGTCTGTTGACTCTTTGCTGGCATCCAAAGTCTAGAAAGGTTTTATAATTGGCCCATTTGATTTTCCGCCATTTCCCACATACCGTATCAATCCCATTGGTACAGTGGTCCATAAATACTCTCGTTAGAAACGCCTTTTAATTGACCTGTCCGCCCCGTATAACTCCTGCATTTCAAGCATCAATAATAGTAATTATAATAATTATAATTGCTTATATAGTGCTTTTCTGGACACTCCACTCAAAGTGCTTTACAGGTAATGGGGACTCCCCTCCACCACCACCAATGTGCAGCATCCACCTGGATGATGTGATGGCAGCCATAGTTCACCAGAACACAAATCAGCTATTAGTGGGGAGGAGAACAGTAATGAAGCCAATTCATAGATGGGGATTATTAGGAGACCATGATTGGTAAATTCCAATAGGAAATTTGGCCAGGATGCAAGGGTTACACCCCTACTCTTTTCGAGAAACGCCCTGGGATTTTTTATGACCACAGAGAGTCAGGGCCTCGGTTTAGTCTCATTCCCAGCTCCGACTTCTCCCTACATTGTGCTATTATTGATTCACTCATCAAAATGGCAGGTCCAGGTGCTTGGCTTGCTAAGGCTGACAACTCCAGTGCCTCTAAGGTGATCATGTAATCCTTTTACTAACTGCAATGGCACCTATTCTTGGCCAACTGAGACAGTAGAAACCTTGCACAATACCTCCTTGTTCAGAACTCACATTCCTCTGAACCATACTTTCCATACTTTGAACCATACTGACCTATACTTTGCTATCTCCAGTTGGCACAACAAACTATCTTGTGAGGGATTGCTCCTCGCACTCTCAGTTCTTACTGGACTGCTTGCAAAAGATTCCCATCCTTCCACCTCTCCACAATCTTAAAGTTCCCATCTTTTGATATACTCACCATATCATCTTCTATGATGCGAGTATCCCCTACTAAAGTATATCTCAGGGGCATCCAGTTCTTCCACAAACTCCTTTTTGTCATAACCTATCCATCTCTTATTCACCCTCAAATTACTCTTTCTAAAAGTTTCTAAAAGTCTTCCAACGATCTGAGAAACCCCTTCCGAATCAATGCACACCACTTCCTCAGACATCCTGGCCTCCTGCATTTAGGTTCTCAGATCTGGTTACTCCTCACCCTGGGTTGACAGCATGCTCCAATGTTTATGCTGTCATTCTTTGGCTTCCAAAAATATGCTCAAAATCTACATCAACTTCCATATCCTTTGATTCTTCTTTCAAAGCTTGCTATCTCCTGATACTTTAACTCTTTGAATTGTATAATAAAGATGAAAGTGAAAATACTGCGTCTCCAATTGAAATAAGGTGGAATTGTACAGTAGGTAGACCTAAATAAGATTTAGTACACAATTTTTAACTTACTATATCCAGTTAAGTTGACTTAATCATTTATGTACATGAAATTACTGCATCTTACCTTCTTTTTAGAATACTATTGTGTACATTACACATCTTTATACAGTGTGAGGAAACCAGAATATCTAGAGAAAACACACACAGATGGGGGAGATCATACAAACTCCACAGAGATGGCATCACAGGGATTGAACCCAGAGCCCCAGTTCTGTAAGGCAGCACTGTTGACCACTGTGCCACCTGCTTCACACAAAACAAACAAAACATATTGAAACATAATGTTCAGTTTATTTTTTGTGAAACAATTTTGTACTTGGGGTTTTATGGTATGCTTGTGGAACATTGGGTAGTACATTAAAGATGGACATAAAATTGGGTGTTTGGGATATTGGAAATTGGTAGTACATCCACAAAATCAATCAATCAAAACCAAATCCAGACGATGCCTACTACATATAATTCATCTCAGAAGAAACACTATTATCAATTATGAATGGCAGCCTATGCAGGCGCACTTCAACAGTATGGTTACAATCATTACCCTGTTTGCCACAGAAGACATGTTGTGGATCCAATGAGTGAGGCTCATACTCAGCACTTGGTAGACTTTTAAGGTGGAAGTGTGGCGGGACAGTGGAAATCTCACGAAGACACTATTAAGGCACAACTGAAAGATTATAGAATAGAATTACTGGTAAGGGTGAAAAAACCTCAGTGGAATACTAGGAACAGTGTTCCACAGAATTACAAGGTTTAGATAGTTTAACAATTAGATGAATGGAATTTACTCTTTCTTGAAAAAAACAGCTAGTCGTCTTCACGATTTACTACAGTTTAATGAAAACTTGCATTTTTGTATATTTTTTATTCAGTTGCCGAGACATCAATATCTATATGGATAGATTGCTTTGTAATTGTAATATTCTATGGTGCAGCTGTTGAATTTTAATATCTTCATACAAGTACATGATTTGAAATTTCTTTGTTTCAAAAAACTTTTTATTTTATTGGAAATTTGTCATTTTTTCATTTTATTGGAACAGTCTTTTTTTCCACTCTGACAACACTGAATAATGGATTGTAACAGTGATATGACACTTAAATCCTATGGACCTACAAATAAGTCATCCATAGAAATAAAAATATTTGAAACTAATATTTAATATCAATTATACAATAAAGTATTTTCACATTAGTGGGCTAAAGACTCCTCAATGTTCCTTAAAAATGTTTTAATTCATGCTAACATAATTAGCACTTAAAAATCTAAATATATTGTAAGTGTGCAAACAACTTATGAATTAAATAACCTAATATGAATTTAAGAACTAAGTGCTACAAACACATCAATAGCTTCTAAAGATAGTATTTGATATGCATACCATAACTCTGGATGTTTGTACCAGTAACACACATCTCTACTGACAGAGGTAATTTCATTGTGAATTACACAATCTGTAGTAAGAAGATACAAAAACTTCAAGTGTTGGAGATACATTATTATTATTGTTGTTTTTGGTTGTGTCACAATTACAAACTCCATTCTTAAAAAGTATATTTTTGTTGCTCTTTAGATATCAAAAAGTAAGCTTCTGCTGCATGTTCATCCCATGTGGCTGACATAAACCTGCCTCTAGCATGGGTGGTCCCCATGCATCCTTCTGATGTTGCATACTTTAACACATACTGGTAAAGATGCTTTTTGACCTTTGAAGTGTAATGGATGTGAAGCAATGATTTATTTTAAAAACGTAGAATACTGAACAAATCACATTATGTTATTTCCTTCCATGCATTTAATGTTCTTTTGAACAAAGGAAAGCATACATTTCTTTTGCTTACTAACAGATCTAGCAAAAATGTGATCTAGTCACATTTCTGTACTATGCGAAAACAAACAGACAATGCCCAAAATTGTCTTTGTACCTTTTAAATGAATGAACACAAATTAGAAAATTCATTTTTCATGATCCTTGTCTTTTTCTCTAGGCATTCGACCCATGCTGTAGAACTCATAATTAGGGTGCATATCAGTAAAGTGTGCAATGCGGTTTGACATGGAAAAGAAGGCTGCGATAGCTGCAATGTCCCAAGCATCCTCACGGTCAAAACCATGGTCTTCCAGATTCTGGAAATGCTCTTCAGTGATGTTATCACAACGGCTGACAGCCAAGGCAAAGTCCAACATCACTCTCTCTCGGGCCTGCAGTTCAGCCATCTCATAGTTAACAATGACCTTCAAAAGTAAAAATAAAAACTGTTAAGATATAGAAAAGTTCTCCTACCAAAGAAAAATACCAAATGTTTGAAGACTGAAGACTTTAAGAGTAAATTACAGTGTCGGCAAAAACTAAAGAAAATAAAACTTGAATAGTCACTTAAGTATAAGTATTCAGACCAATAAATTTAATATTTGGTGAAAGCACCTTGGACAGCTGCCAAGTCTATTTGGGTATGTCTCCCCCAGCTCTACACAGAGACTTGGAGCAAGTTGTGTCCATTCTTCTTGGCAGATTTGCTCAAGCTCTCTCAATAGGCTTTGGGGATTTCTTATGGACAGCAGTTTTCAAGTCTTTCTACAGATTCTGTGCAAAGGTCTGCGTTTGCAAGGCACAACATTAAAAAAAAATTAAAAAAATTGAGATCTATGCTGAAGATAGAGATAAATTATTTAGATTTTACCTTCCATGTCTCTAGAAAGGACTTTCTTAATGACTCAGTTTCGTACTTGTTGTTAATATTTTTTACTGCTAAAACCATCTGGACTTCATCATCATTTGATATTTGACTTCATGGGCTGTTTTTTGTAACAACAGAGCAATAGATAGTTGTAATGAAACTGTGAAACTGTGATTTCCATTGTATGAACAGAATTACTAAAATTGCCATCAAACTCCATCACCACTTTAACCCACGCAGAGAACTTTCCTCAATGAGTTACCTGGTCTGCCAAAGTTGGATTTTTAGAGTAGATGCGATGCAGAGCACTATGAGAAATCACACAATACAGGCACCTGTTGTTAATGCTTGTGGCTACCACTATCAGTTCTCTGTCTTCTTTGGTAAGATGGCCTAAAAAACAAGATTCAGATGTTATGAATTCTACAGGAATATTCCAATTTACCATAAATTAAGATAAGGGATTTATTTTTTTGAATATATAGAATATATTGCAGATATATCATTTATTTCTAATCTGTAAAATAGTTACATTTATTCATGGATAGCCCACACAAAGGAATGCCTCTATGAACTACTGCATAAATATGGAAAACATTTTAAGTAAGTCTATCTGAAAATAATATCTAAGAACTATCAAAGAAAAAAAAGATGTTTAAGATGCTATATCCAGTTTTAACAAGTGCATGAATAAGATTTTATCTTAACTGACCACTTAACTAATCTTGTGTTAAGATTTTGTGTCAAGACTGCTAAATGTTTTTAAAAAATCTGCATACATTCTGTAGCAAACTGATTGAACTGCTTCCATGCTTAAGCCAAAGATAGCTAGAAAGGTTTATACATTTACCGTTTTTACATCTGTTTGTATGGCTTGGTAATCTTAAATCAAACAGTTACCTATATTACTTCTAACTTTACTATAACATAAGGTAACCCTACTGTTTAAAAATAAGCTTTGCTGTAGTCCACAATTTGAATTTAAATATGAAAGTCATATTAATATCAAACAAAAATGAGAAAGAGCATTAAAGTGGTGCAGACGTTATCATAACTGACTTGCAGTCAGGGCTCAATTCCAGACCCGGAATACAATCTGTGTGGACTCTGTATGTTCTCCCCAGGTTTGTGTAAGTTACTCCAGCCACTCCAGTTTCCTACCACAGTCTAATGACATATTGGTAGGTTAATTGGCTTCTGGGAAAATTGGCCCTGGTGCGAGTGTGTGTCTGTGTCTAGGTGTCTGCCCTGTAATGGACTGGCATCCCATTCAGGATGTATCCCACTTGTGCTTGTTACTTGCTGGGATAGGCTCTGGCTCCCCTGTGACCCTGAATTGGATGAAGTGGTAGAAAATGGACTGGTGGAAAAAAGAAGAACAATTAGGCAGGTAGCAAGAGTTCTCTCTGATTAAAACAAGCAAAAAAGCAGCTTGCCTACAGTACCTGTTTCTTTATTCATCAGAGCATTATAGTAAGCAAAGAATGCCCTAAATTCAGCTGGACGGTGAGAGAGTACTTTGAACACATTTGGCAAAAATCCACTCTAGAAAGGTAGAAGAAAACCATCAATTAGAGGTGAAATTAAATATTAAAAGAACATTTTTTTACACTCCTGCTCATTAAACTTTTACTTTGTGTGTACATGAGTAAAACTGGGGGTGTTTTTTCTTTTTTCCTTGTCTCAACTATCACAATTATTATAAGCAGATAACTTAAATATGTACTATTTCACAGAGAACATAAAATGTAATAAAAAATGGGCTCACTGACTTTACTGGCTGGTGCTTATTATTATATTCAACCATTTTAGTGGATAAAAAAAAAAAAACTTCTGAAAAGACTTCCCAGATCTCACAGATGCAATTTGGCTAGTGTATGCAAACAGAGCTATAAACCCCCCAAAATAATTGCTCTTAGTAGGGAAATTGTGATAGAAGAAATTCTGCAAATATCAGATGAAGTCTCATCATTTTGTTTTTTTGTGACTATCCTGGAGCAAATATACTAAGTGAGTGCTGTGATGAGAAAAGACATATTAAAGACAGAAAGATATTCTTTTTAATAGTAAGAGAACTGAAGTTGATAGTAAGATGATGTTTTATCTGAAATCTCGTTCAAGAGCTGAGTGCCCAGTTATTTTATTTTTTTAAACTATTTAGAAATAAAAAGGGTTGAGATGAGAAGAGTCATTTGCTTATTTTCTTCATAGTTGGGGAGTATTCCAAGGATCTTAACATTTGAATTTGAATTTAATTCAATATCCTGGCTTGGCAGCATGTTCAGGTACCCACTTTGAAATCTGAAATTTTTCTACCTCCCGATATATGCTTGTCTTTTTCACCTGTTCCCTCAGATTCTCGGGTCTCTACTGATTCTAAAAGAATTGTCTTCATTAACTTAGTAAATGCTTTTCAGGATTTCAGATGCTTGTATTGCATCTATTTGTACAGTCCACTCTGCATAACTAAAGACATTAGGTCCTTCTGTCTTCACTTCAGGAGTTAACATATTTTTGTGCAATGTCTTATTGTAATGTGCTGACTGAACCTGCATATGCTATGTTGAATGTCCTACCAAACCATAAATATAAAACATGTATTCGAAAATATTTTGAACATGGCTTCTTCTGACTTAAGTTCTACACTGTATATCTAGATATTGTTACATTATTGTTACAACTTTTCCACATTGTCTGAATGAGGACATTAACTGGTCTACATAAACACCTGAACATTCTGGATGCAAGAATGTTCATTTGCACTTGACTACCATAATAATCCTGAGTATAAAGAATACCCAGTACTTCTTTATCAGCTACGTAACTTGGAAATTCGTATTTTTACAAAAATTGAATTTAACCTAATTAAGGAAATGACAATCAAGCCTTTTGTCCCAGATTTTCTCCTAAATCACAATCATTCCTGGAATACTTTATAACTATATATATATACTGTAATATGCAAATCCTTTTTTCTTCACATTGGGCTTCATTCATCCCTCCACCTTTATGGATACTCCTTGGTAACTCCTCACTCCCCTTGCCTGGGGATACTTATTTCCTCATCCTATTGGCAGGGGTCTAGACTTCAGCCAAGTGGGTTAACCCAAATTTCTCTAAGCCTAAGCACCTAAACACAGATTACATTTAATTCTTCAGTGTCATTATTGAATTAAACTTTATAAAAAAAACACAGAAAATTGTACACAAATATGAACACAGCATACAACTTAAACCCATGTCCGTACATGGCAGCGCGGTCACAATTCAATTCAAAACTGTCCTGCATTGGTTTTACTGTTTAATTAATAAAAATCATACATTTACTGTTACAAAGGGGGCACTATTACCTTTGTCTCCACCTCTTCCATTAGCTCCACTATGTCATAAGGAAGATCCTTCTTATATGGAATAGGGTACCGCCCGATGGACTTTGGGGGACGAGGGCAGTACGTCTTTCGAGTTACAGCCGAACCGATCCCGCTTGTCCAGTGCCACTGAACTAGGTGTTTGGATAACGACTAAAACAAAAGATAAATATAGCTACTTATCTTCCTACAAATTACTCGCTTTTTATTATTCCATACAGTACGTTTAAAGGTATGTGCAAAGAATTACAAAAGATTGATTTTCTGAGACTCAAAATCATTTGGAATCTCCAGTGTCTTTAGATATTTGAACCGTAATTCCTAAAACATCTACAAATTACTTGTACACCACATGTGAAATAAATTGTACATATATTACGATACAATTACGCACGACAGACCTCAAACTGTAGTAAAACAACAATTTTGCCCAGTTGAATTAAAAGAAATGTAAATTCACTTACAAACTGATAAAACTGGCGAAGGTTAAGACTACACATACGCTTTGCAATATTACCAGAACAAGCCATCTTTGCTTTTCCAAACCCCAAGCAAATTCTATTTCCTAGTTCAAGGTTCCTTTGTCGACCACTCACAGTACAACACGCAGGACACACCCCCTGGGCTTCGTCCAGCCTTCTTGAAATGTCCCAGGGTCGATTGCAATGAGCTTTCTGATTTACTACGGAATTCCGTGATAAAATGAGTACTTGATACTAGCTGGTATGGTATTGTCTCTCGATCATCCAAAGCTGTAATGAAAAAACCCTACGGAACAAAGCTGGAGAACAGTTGATCACGTACTTATTACGGTATGTAAGATTAAGCTGTTGTTATACTAAAAACATACTGAAGGGGGTTCTGATTTAGAATATCTGAATTATTAAAAAAAATAATTACATATTGTGAATGTGGACCAATACCCTAATATGTGGGCACACAATAATTTAAATATTACTTTGTCTTATATATATATATTTGCATTTCTAAATATGTTGTCTGTGAAAGCATGTTGCTTTTGTGCAGTATTATTACTCTTTCTCACGAGATTGGAGTCTGTCCTTTATCTGTTATGTGAACATAATGAATTGTATACTTTTTGTGTCACCTCCCTGTTGAATTGGAAATCATTCCATTGTGCAGCTTGCATGCGGTGGTACTTTGCACAAATGTGCTTATAGATCATTTAACTTTTGCACACATCGCCCCAAAGAACAAAATAATTGTTCTTTATTATAGGTTAAAATCGGCACGTGAAATTGACACTATCAATTATGTAGATTAATTTACAATATATTTGTATAGATTACATGCATTTACAATAACGCACGTGATTATGTTTTTGTAAATAATTGTATCACTGCTTCGTACCACTCCTTCAGTTAATTCAAATTAATGTGTAATTGCAAGGAATTCACATACACTTAGCATTGGTACCGTGCAGTGTTGGGGTCTTGGGTTCAATTCCAGATGCTATCTGCGTGGAGTTTGTATGTTCTCCCAGTATTCACTTGGGTTTCCTCCAGGTGCTCCGGTTTCTTTCCACTGTCCACAAATATACTGGTAAGTTAATTGACTTCAGTCACTCGTGTGACTGTATTCTTGTCTGTGTCAGTGAACACCACCTTGCGCCCGTTGTTTGCCGAGCAACTAAATTGGAAGAAGCAGTTATAAAATGATTTGATGGAATAGTGGAATTTGTAAGCGTTCCACACCTCCTGCCTAGGTGGCGCCAGCAGGAATAATGAGGATTATATCCAGATACTGAGGCACCTCTTCGTTAGTCACCATATTTCGATTGCTTAGAATTCGGATCAGCTCCAGCGCAACATCTTTTAAGAAACAGATCCGTTGTGCAGACTTGATACCCTGTGAATTTATGACTCGGTGACGTTTTTCCGGCAGAGATTAAGCAGACGTCTAACTTGGTCTGTGTATGTCGTGATCATCTGCCTCTGTTTGCGACAGTGATGGAAGTTTAGTGTTGGCTGTGGACGGTGGATGGAGTGAGTTATGAAGATCAGACTTTTCTAACACGGGTAAGGTTTGCGATGTATTTTCTGTATTATTGGTACACTCTTGGCTGTATTAACATATATATATATATTTAATTTGGAATTAGACTTTAATTACTATTTGAACTTGATCAGCTGGAACATTATGTTCTGCGGAGCGGTGCTCTGTGACTAAGGATCTGCGCCTGTGGTTGGGAGGTTGCCGGTTCAAATCCCGCAGCCGGTAGAGGAATCCTACTCTGTTGGGCCCCTGAGCAAAGCCCTTAACCCCAACTGCTACAGGGGCGCTGTACAATGGCTGACCCTGCGCTCTGACCTTCTTCTCCATGTCTGCGTGTCTGTGTCTCATGGAGAGCAAGATGGGGTATGCGGAAAAGACGAATTCCTAATGCAAGAAATTGTATAGGGTTAATAAAGTAATGTTACATGTTAAATGTTCTGTATGCTTGAATGTGGTTGCAGGCAGTGATGGGTATTTACACGCTTTGATCATGGAGCATCTTTTGAGCGAGAAGTGATGTGGTTAATGCGAAACTGTCCTGATAGCTATAGTATAGGATACCTATAAATAATTGTGTTGGTAGCCGATAGATATTTTTATGTCTCTTTTATCACTACACCTGGATAATAATTCCGATCTAGGACAGTAGTGTACAGCAGCGCAACCGTGTGTTTGTAGATATTTAAAAGTAATTTTAAAACTCTTCTTATGAACATACATCCCAGAAACATACTCCGAGCTAAATAATAAAAGCTATATCAGCAGTCTAATAAGCTGTCGATACCAGAGTGGTTATATGATCCTGTTACTACACTGAGATTTTAGAACGGCGAGCAACAGCTGATGATGTATTTAAATTTTATTGAATTCTTTATTTAAATTGATAAGGGTTTGTAAACACATTCTCTTGTACGTTGGCAATCCCGAGAGTACCCGTCATTACAGAACAACATGCTCTGCTCTGGAGTTCGGAGCCCTTACTGAATAACATACGTATGTTATTAATGTTTATTCTGAGATATTAACCATCAATCTGCTTCTGATTATGTCGTTCTATTTTAAAAACAGCACTGATTACGTCCTTAATTGTAGCCTTACTGTAACATTTTGGGTGGTAAATCGCTCACGCATATGTTGTAGTCATATGCTAGCTATTATGGAGAGTTATCACCAGTAACACCATTCATCATACCATTCTAGTATTACTAGAAAACGAATGTCTAGTAAATCAGAAGGGAGAAATATTTCAATATTAATGACTATAGTAAGGATGCTTACCCTTTAGAACATAGGATACTAAGCTCTAGAGGAACAGGTAAAGGTTTATTCCAAGCTGAAAAAAAGAGAGAAAGTTTTGGTTATGGAGCCTTCTTCTCACTATCAATATAGTGAGGTCAACATAAAAGTAAGTTTCTTGTTGAGGAGTAGCAGGGAACAACATGAATGGGCTGGGGTGCTGTTTAGGAGCTAACTGTGAGCTTGAATTACATTTCTCCATTGGTGTAAGAAAACATTGGGTTTTTCCAATTTACAGTTTGATTCTTTTATAATTGAGCTGACAGTGTGCCTCCATGCAAAAAAAAGCTCTTTTGAATAGTAAAAAAAAACAACGGTAATAAGCTTGTATTTTTAAATAATGTGCAAAGCTAACATCTAGTTCTTTTTGTTGTATTACACAGTAATTGAAAAGGATCTATGTGGATTTTAAGTTCCCATAACTGATAAAAAGTAATTTCCCTCTTGATCCCTTGAAAGTGTTAAGTGTTTAAGGTGTAAGGTTGGTCACATGGTTTTGGCATATTGCTGTGTAGGGCTCTGCCAGAAACTCTTGTCATCTTGCAGGATTCACCGACTAAAAGTACTGGCTATCTTGGATGTCTGGTACTGAGTGCATTGGTGTCATCACATGGTTTAGTGACTCTGAAAACATTTTTTTTTTATATTTTAATTACTGTATACTGATTTGGTGTTACTCTCAGTAAAACTGGGAAACATTTCCATGTGGTGTTGGGGGGTAGAATTACCATTTTTTTCCATGGCTAACAAATCATACAGTGTGCAATTGTGAGAAGTTGAAAACAATAGTGAACAAGTGAACAAATCAAACTCAAAGCAAGATACTGTTGCAAAATGGCAACAGTCAGCTCCAATTAAATTTAAGCTAATTAACATAACATTCCTGACTGCATGGAAGTTATTGAAAACTACATGCTTTGGGGCATTCACTTGAAAATAATTTTGCTAGTTTGGCTTTCCTCCATTTTAAGCTCTTTAACCTATTGGTGATCAGAGCCTAAAATCTTTTTTTCTGATAAAGTTGCTAAAGCATTGAAAGTGTGCAATATTGTAATGAGATTTTGAAGCACATTTATTAAATGATTCAGACTTTAATCATTGCCTTTGAATGCCTGAATTTGTTTGAATGTTTTGAGCATAACCTTTATCACACTAGGTATAGCTTGGTTACTTGTTGTGGGTAAACTTGCCTTTTACCTTTTGTGAATCTGTGGAGGAAAGTAAACCAGTGCTTTTTTTAAGTTAATATAATTAAAGCTGTTTTTAAATGCTGCATAACTTCATATTTACTTGAGAACCCCTTAAATTGAATTTATTTATGCTGTTTTTTTCTTAAAATAAAAAGCAAATAACCACGTTTGTGCAAATGTCGTTGTACATCTGTCAAGCACAATCTGTACTGCAGGAGTTTCCTACACCAGTCCACAAGAGCTGGTGAGGGGTTTTAAACTCATAAAGAATTCCTCAGATAAAAACATGGAAGATAAGTCATTAGTACAATTAAACAATGAGGAATTTAAGTGAAAAAGAATAAGAGTCCTGTAGGACCTGCGAATTGTGGAAAGTATAAGTTCTGCATGTCACTGAAACTTTGGCCTACAGAGTAACCCAGGGTTGTCTAATACTGGATGGTCATTGTATCCACAGGTTTTCATTCCAGCTAAGGTCTTAATGAACTGCAACAGTGGGTTACCAATTTAACTGGACCATTTTAGCATCTTGTACCTCTTCATGTGTTTCTGTTTTTAAGGAAGAGACTTTGAAAACCAGCAGACATACTGACCTTCCAAGGACCATGACACTCTTTTGAATAAAATCTTTGTTGTTTTCCTTTCTCCTGTAGGATCAGCCCTTCTCCCCCTAAGCCTAGTGAGGATGTTTCCAGGTCTTGCCCGGAGACAGTGGCATGTATTCTGTCAGTTCTATTTGCAGAAGCATGCCACTCGAATCTGCCAGCCTTGCCATGGTGTGTTTTTCTTTGCTTTCTGAACATTTCCATTAGTATTTTGATCTTTCTGGTTGATTTGATCCTTATTATGAAAAGTTCACATTTTGAAGGGCAAACAGCCCGTACCAAATGATGAAAAGTGTGGCCACATGTTAAATGGCCCTACCCTATTGAAATTAGCAGCCTTCATATGAAAGCAATGTACTGTCAACAGAATTAAAAGCGGGATGTATTGGAACTGCATCTATATTTCATAACTTGGATCTTTGTTTCATTAAGGACTTGGTACTGCTAGTAAGTGGTATTTGGAAGCTGATATTTAAATAGTGGGAGAAAATGTAAGAAAACTTGACATCTCCACTAATATTTTGGATCTTTGGTTTAATATGTCAGGCTCTGTGTCAGTAAGAGACTCGTGCCTGGCAGGCATAAAGTGAGGAAGCATCATCTGTATTATTAGAGTGAGCCTGGTATTTGTGTGTTTTTTAGTCTTATAATGATATAATATGACAACCACTAGCTAATTACCAATTATATTTGAGTAAATGAATATTCACTTACATTATACATTTAGCATGAGGAAAGTAGAAAAACTACAATGAAACTACAATGTCCATTTAAAAAATATGTGATACTAATAGCATTTTCACAAACTGCCAAAATGGATTTAGAAAGGGAAGTTCTTGTCTAATTTGCTAGAATTATTGAACAAACAGTGACAGTTGACGAATATAGTAGAATGTATTGGGGTATATGGTGTGATATATTTATATTTCCAGAAAAAAAGTCGTAAAAGGTTGACCCTCAGATTAAAAGCTACAGCAGTCCAAAGTAGTGTATGCATTTAGATCACAAACTGATTATGTAAACTCATTTAAAGAGTCACAAGAGGCTGTGAAGAAGCAAGCGACAGTGTACCACAGGAATTTGTTTTAGGCTAGATGCACTTCCTGACCTATTCATTCATTCAATCAATAATTTAGACACTGATGTAGTTACTTAACTAGTTAAATTTGTAATTGATATAAAATAGGGTATAAATTAATAAATTAGCACAGACATAGACACTTAGCAAATGTAGTTTAAAATTGATAAATACAAAGTGACCCACACAGGTTGTAGATACATATCACATTTCTGATTTTGATTTGCAGGGAGCTATGCACAAAAGGCATCTGGTTTTTAATGTAGATTTTAATTTCCTTGCCAAACCAATAGAGTGAAGTAACAAAAAGCAAATGGTGCTTTGGTTATGGCAGGCCAGCTGTAGAAAGATTAGTCCTGCAATTAGTGGCCAGTAAATAGCCCTCAATAGTTACAGTATATTCTGTTAGACTCTTTTCCACATGACTCTGGTAAATCAAGCTGGAGATTTCTCTATTGCAATGGAGAAAGGAGGACAGACGTAACTAGCAGCTCCCCTCTCCCCCCAAAAATTATAGCCTTCCCTCCTAAAGCCGGGCACACGGCACCGCTACAGGTACAGAACATTATTCCTGAAGGCAATATGGAGGAATACCTACAAGCATTAGAGAGAACGGTAGAACGGCTCCAGTGGGATTGCAACCTGGGGGCCAGCATAGTTACCCCTTTCCTATTTGGCAAAGCTCAGAAGGCGTATTATGACTTGGACAGCACTGCCACCGACTATGAGCATTTTAAAATGGAGATTTTAGCCCGGGAGGGGTTCATGACCCATGTCCGGGTGCAGTGTTTCCTCGGAGCATTATGGTCCCCACGTATTCACTCGCTCTCAAATGTTCGACCTCATTTACCTCCCAGAACAAGGTAGTAAAACACATGTATTACATACAGATGCAGCTATTCAAAATGCGCGGTACAAACCCGCGGTACGGTAACCTACCCACAAGCCACCGCGGGGCACCGGAGGGCACCGCATTAAGTGATTGGCTGGCCAAAATGACCGACAGGGGCACTCGTGATGCATTGGTTGGTAGTGCAAAGATTTAATCATTTAATGTCTTTACTGTGCACATTTTAATCTGCTTTGTTTTGAATATTTATATGGAATTTTACCACTAAAGGGAAATTTTAGTAGCTGAGCATAAAAAGAAGAGGAGCATAACGCATTTGAAGGTCATAAATGATATTCATTTAGGAACATAAACATTACTGTATGTACGTAAACTGTACCGTGTATGGCTGGTCTTGGTAGTTTAAAGAAAAAATACACACCAGTCTTTTTCTCCCTAAACATTTTAAGCAAGAAAGTTTTATGAAACGGTACCAAAATATGCGATTGCTGTATAGAAT